CAAAGCTTGTAGGGCCCTACGAGGCCTGACAAAGGGGCGGCGAAGGCTCGGCGAAGGATCGAAGGAGACTTGCAATATGTCCCCTTTTTCTAAACTTAGCTCTTACTAACGTTGGTTTTCTTTATCCTGGGTCATTGTGACATATAAAAGACCAAAATTTGCGACAACAAATGAAGATCCGAAACTTTTATCTAGATATTATTGATGTGAGTACGCGCAAAGTACTTCAAAATAGGTGATAAACTACCCTAGGACCCGGCCAATCCTCTCAACCCGTCTGTCGGGAAAATAATGAGCGCTCTGTCGCATCTACAACCGAGAAAACGAATTGTGTCGGGGCAGAATGAAGCTTCTTTTTATTTGAGCGACCTCTCATTATTTCCCCGACAAACTGGTACAGAAACAAGTAATTCGCAAAAAATGTAAAATTTTGACCAACCTTCAGACTAAAATTTTGGCCAAAAATTTGAGTCCGAAGTTTGTGCCGACATTCTAATAATGATGTAATAATGTTTGTCCAATGTTAGCTACATCTCTTGTAAGCCTCCCACTCAAATTTTCTTCCATTCAAAAGGCACAAAACTCATAAAAAGTTCGGATTTGTAGCGCTCAATTATTCTGAAGTCTCACAACTGCAAAACATACACGTCCTCATCGAGTGTGGTCGGATGTTTGTGTCCTACACCTACAATGCAAACATCAGACGTTCAGCAGGGATTTCGGCGAAAACAAAAAAGGTTTGTGCGACGGTTATTTATAATTTATATTAGCGAAAACAGCAATGAAAATTATGGGAAAGCTCTACCGTAAAAATAAAAATTTGGATTTTTCCCGGCTAAGCCTACAGCTGCAAACTCAAATTCCCATATTTATTATGCTCCCATGTAATAACTGGGTCCACCAGGAATTGCCGAGATAAAGAAATTTTATGTATGGAGATCGTCGCGACCTGAGGAACTACGCCCAAAAAAGCTATACGCAAAAGAATATACATCATGATATTCACCATGGCGCATACAAGAAGCCTACAGGACAGCGTCGAAAGCACTAATTCAGTGGGAAACACGGCTTATTCAGAAACAAGGTACTTAGTAGATGTGTTAAAAAGTGTAATTGCAAAAGTGTAACCTCACTTACAAAAGAACGGAATTGTTTTTCTAGCCCTTCTCAGAAGTGGGATGATATTAAAGAATGTCAAGTATTTGACCGAAATGACCGTGGTTAGTTAAACTTTTTATACCGTTTATAAATGTAAAAGATGGCGGTTTTGACAATACCAAACATTACGGATATCATTCATCTAGGTCTTTGCAATGAGGGTTTAATTCTCAGACCCGAAAAAATACACAAGACTTATGGGACAACGTAATATTTTTCTAATGAAAGCATTGTAAAATATATTGTAAAATGTAGATTTTGCCTGAAAAGGCTTCGATGTTTTCCATGGGGAATTATACTTTGTAAAAAATGATCGGTTTTTTGCTGAGAAGGCCTCAGAAATTTATGTTTCCCATGGGGCTCTTGGAGTTCTTTTCCAAGTCTCCGGAACACCCCTTTGTAATACTACATGTATATGTACTTGCAACGCTCAGAATTTCTTTAAACTCGGCACATACGCCAGGCACAGATCGTACACCAAATGCTGAAAATTTGAGCTAACGCTTTGCAAGCACAGCCGAGATATTCAACAGTCTTTGTGGGCGAGAGAGTACGCGAAACACGGAGAGCGGCCAGAGAAAACCACTTTTTGGCTATATCCTTGCCAGCTTCGTGCGGAAAAAATTGATTTTTCTGTGGGAACGTTACACTCTACAATAGAAATAACCATGAAATTTTAAGTGTCAAATTCTCTAACCGCCTCTCCTCATTTCTCATAATCTCTAGTTTTCAAAGATCGTTGAATATCTCGGCGCTACTTGTAATCCTAAAGGTAAAATTTTTAGCAATTTATTTACAGAGCCTACAAAATGTCCATGCAAATTTTCAAGCAAATCGGAACATTGATCTCCGAGAAATTCGAAAATTTTGACCTCTAGCTTCATATATAATATAATTTCAAAAATGTACGCTCCTATAACTAATCCGCCGAAGCCCTCGGTGACCCAGCAACCTCCTAATTACAAAGATAATGTCAACACTCCGCCAAATATGGTTTCGGAACCCCAAATCCGCGGGAGAATCGGACGAAAGGTCGTCCGGTTGTAATATAAACCGTAATCCCTCGGATTTGTGGCAACGAAGTAAACACTTTGACATTGCGGATTAACCGAGTTGACGTGGAAAACAATTCCTAAATTTAGCGGCAGCGGCAGATTAGGGAAAGGTTGCCATTTAGCGTGTTTTATACAAAATTCATCAGTTTTTGAATAATTTATTCAAATTTTTGATGGAAAAGTGCAGAAAAATGCATTTTTAATAGCGTATAATACGTTTCACATACCTCCATAGGCATTAGTTTTCGAAAAATGCATGTTTTGGGCAAGGTGACATTTTATACGATGAAAGGTGTTTTTAGCCATATCTTTGTATACTGCTACAAAATAAAATTTTAACCACTATCACAGGCTTGAACTATCACCTAGCACCAAAACTTTTTAGACAATAAGCTTAGACGACATTTTATACGATAAAAATTTCCAATTTTCTAAAAAATCCCAAATCCCTGACCACACAAAAATTAAATTTTAATTTTGCGAATGTTTAGACGACCCTATAATCCTTAATCCGCAAACATCTTCGTCTTGACGTTCCTTCTTAATAAACCTCTATTTTCGGCGGGGTCTAATTAATTTACGTCCTCCCCCTCCGGCAAAACAAACATGATTAAAAAACCAGACGTGAGAAACCTTAGGAAACAGTCGTGCATAAGCAGCGGAGGGAACAGCGATGGCTGAACAATTAAAATTCGGAAAATTCGTGAAGAGAGACATTTTATACGAAAAAAATTGAAGGGAAAAAATTATAAAAAGTTGGCAAAAAATGCGGCATAAGTCAGAAACTGTAAAGCAAGAAACAATGTAATGATTGACTAGCGTATTTTACATCATGATTTAAAATTTTTGAGCTTTGGGCAAAGAATGTTTTGTAAAAATTTTTAATCGTCATGGATAATATAAAAAGATTTCTGACAAGGAAAGTACTTCTATGGGGTGTGGAATTACCGGTCGAGATATATATCAAAAAATTCGCAAAAATTTTCTGATTCAGAATATATAGAAATTAGCTGCCTAATTTTGGTCTATCAGCGAGTTTTTTCAATAAATGCTTTTCTCGAAGAAAAAAATCTGCGGCAACAAAACCGCGCTCAGTCTCTTCCTTCGGAAGAGAGCGGTGTGGCCGAGTGGTTAGAGCGCTCGGTTGGAAATCCGAGGGAAACGGGTTCGACTCTTTTTGCCACACTAGATCCCATTTTTTACATTGGAACTACTTTTAAAGTGTAGTTGTAATCCAATGATATTTTAAGGCTTGTCAAGGCCTCAGAATTTAGTTTAGCACAAAACAAAATTTTTTATTGGTAAAAACACGGTCAAAAAGACACTTGCATGGTGTCGCGAGAAAACTTCTGAGGACAAAAACATGTCATTAGACCAAAATTAGGCAGCTAATTTATATATATTCTGAATCAGAAAATTTTTGCGAATTTTTTGATATATATCTCGACCGGTAATTCCACACCCCATAGAAGTACTTTCCTTGTGAAACCCAAAGTAAAGACTTATAGACACATTTTTACCCTTTTAGGTGCTAACAAGCCCCAATTTTACCACTCTGCCAACTTTTGGACCAATAGCGAGCCTTGAAACAGAATGCCAAAAATAGCGGGAATTTTTTCTTTTGAAATTTCCCTTTAAAATTAGGTCAGGAAAAACTATTAAAGCGTAAAATGGATAGTTAAAACCAAAAACACCATTAAAAACCCCATGTTGTTGAGTTCTGACCTTAATTTAGACACCTGTCCGTCAAAAAACTCAACGCCATGTTTACATGTCAAACAAACTGTAACAACTTGTCGTTAGCTATTAGTTAGTATTTGAATTTCGGCACGTCCTTGGTCCAGACGAACCGAGTGAAACGGTAGGAAAAGGGTCACAATTAACTAATTGTTTGCTCGCGAAGCACCCAAAAATCAAATTCTTGGGCGGAAAATCGTATTAACGTAACAAAGAAAAGCGATTTAATCGGGCCATCAAATTATCGAAGCATTGAGACCATGTGGACCAAAGCTACAGTAAACAAAGAGGGGTTTGGGCGAAAAAAAACTAGGAAAGAGGTTTTTGTCATGGTTAATATAAATTTTTGACAATTTTCTGGCTCAGTTTTTTCCACGTTTTTTCCATTTCCATGCCCTCCAATCAGATAATTTTGCTATTACAACTCTTTATCAACACGTATTTTTGAAAATCCCGCGGTATTTTTCAAGCTTCGACTTTGCAGCCTGCCCTTCATAGGGCGCAGCTCGGGGATTTCTTTTTTCGGTAAATTTGGTAATTTCTTTTGAAGTTTTGGTCAAAATGGGTGGAGCAATTTATCAAAGCCTCCAGTTGTATTTCTTTGTAGGTTACTGCCGGAGGGAAGCACGTTTACGTCGATCATTCTGATCCAAAGTCGGTCAAGGAGCTGCTTGAGCAAATCTGCACGGAAAATGAAGGCCAATTGGACATCTTAGTGAACAACTCGTACGCCGCTGCTAATGTAAGTTGTGCTGCAGCTTTTCCGTTTTGTTGGAATTTAGGTATACTCCAGGTTTGAGGTTTTTCGGGGAAAATTGGAAGAATCTCCGTTTTGATACCTAAAACAATGTGAATGTATAGAAATGTGCTTCAAATCGTCGAAAAGTGCCTGCGAGAGGATCGGCAATGGCATTATTTTTCAGTTCATCCTCGGAAACACGGCCAAGAAGTTCTGGGAGGTCGAGGCGAACCCGGCGTTATGCTTATGACGTCATTAACAATGTTGGCCTCCTAAATCATTACGTGTGCCTGATCTATGCGGTTCGCCTTATGATACCAACCAAATCGGGACGTGTTGTCTTTTGGAGGTCTGAGAGGCATCTTGTAAGTTTTTATCACCGATTTATTCCGATTTTAGGCCGTGCGCAAGTATTTCGATGAAGGCGAGTCCATTTACTACCTTGGAAAATGCATTGTAAAGCTTGCCGCTTTGCCGGATCTCAACAAACATTCTGCAGAAATTATAACCACCACCAACTTGGGAAAGGAGCTCCAAATCAAGGATGAAGATTGGACGTAAGTGGTCTAGTATAATATGAGTGAATGTTATCTCGATTTTTGTGGTAAGAGTATTTTATTTTGCGTTTTCAGACCTCCCAGTGGATCCCAATGTCGTCACACAAATCGACTTCATCAACCAAGTGAATGCGGTCAGAAACAAACTGTTGAAATCTAGTCAATAAAGGTTTATATAAAAAATTGAAGGAATATTGTGCGTATTGTTATGAAAATTGTCTTTAAAGTAGTACAGGGTGTTCCAGAAAGGCAGTAAACATAGTTTGTCCATCATATTCATTAGAATTTCCCTGCAAAAACGTTGAAATTCCGATCTTACACTAGAATTCATACCTAAAATAATGTTTTGGCCATAAATGAGCGAAAAATCAATTTAAACTGTCAAATTCTGCATGAAAATAGAAAATATGTGCCTAAATCTCGTAACTAGCCGAACTTGCCATCATTTTGACGAATTTCCGCCTGCACGAGTACCTTGGCTGTGCCCCGCCACGAAAACCCAGAACGCCAAGCTCTCCACGGCAATTATAACGAATATCATCATTATGCATCATTGTTGCGTGGCCTCGCGCGCGCGCGTACAATTTGCCGTTTGTTGCGACACGTGGACAATGCCATTCTCACGGCCGTTCATTCTGACGTGGACATCAACATCACCTCCAAACTCGGATATTATCGCCCGATTTGCCGTCAAAAAGTCCCCGATCGTTTTGATATGAGGCCTCATCTCGAGGTAAGCTTGCTTTTTTATTTGTTGTTTTCCGTATTTAGGTCCAAAACTGACAATTTTTTTGTTGATGTTGTACTCGACATCAGCAAGATTCAGAACGGGGTGAATTCTTGCTGTAAATTGAAAGTTTCTTGATTATTTTTTGTCCACGAGCTTCTTTCTTGGGTCATAGAGGCGTTTTATGCGGTCTTTACAATTACATTTGATGTTCTTCATGTTATACTTGGTTTTATTTACCGATTTCTTCGTTTCAGATTGGAACTTGGATTTCTATCAGCAAGTCCTTCTGGAATGGGACATCCTGGCATGAGGAAGCTCCACGAACTTCACAATGTTATCCCGAGGTTGCCCGGTCTCCACGTCACTTACTCTTTTCAAATGCAAACTGCCCTGTAAAGAACAAACCTTGTTTGGACTTTGACATTGGTCATCTACAATTTTCCTTGTTGTTGGATCAGAGATTTCTATGCGGTAAGAGCTTTTTACCTTGTTTTACATTATTTTAGGTAGGAATAATAGAAAATTTGATAAATTTTACTATTTTCTTTGATTTCAGAGCTCCAAATGATCTCTCGTCAATGGTATTGCTTCGTGTCATGATGTGCATCATCATGCGCAGTTCATTTCATCTTGCTCAATATAGTTCATACTTAAAAATCTCCGGATTTGCTTCACATCAAGTTTCCTTGTGAGTTCTTTTATTTTTTGCTTCCATGTTTAGAAACGACGTCAAATTTTTACGAAATTGCTTGGACAGTGGGCACAGCTCGGAAGTTTTACTTTTTTATGCCGGGCTCGGCGAGCACAGACTGCTGTCCTTGTTGATTTATCTTCTCTTTGGGCTGATTTACCCTCCTAGAACCTGCACATGGTTTAGACATTGATTATATCGTTTTATTTGCAGATTTCGCCGCATTAACCGTCGCTTCAAACTCTCCTTTTCTTCGACTCATCATCACAGTGACCAATGGATCACCAAGGACGCTGGCTTTCAACAATGAATCCTCAATTTGGAAAATTTCTTCATGTATGGACTGGTAATCGTTGGTTTGATATTTACATTTATATTGTATCAGTATTAGATATGTGTTGTATACGTAGGTAGTGGTAGTCATTGGATATTATTCTCTTCTCTATGAAGGGCCGCAAGCCTTCATAATAAACGAAAGACTCTATTTTCTTTGGGTATCAACGTTGTGGCGACAGTAGGTAGGGAGTCGGGGGTCTCGGACCTGTTCGGGCTTTGGGTGTCGGGAGGGTTGAACCCGACTTGTACTTGGGGCTAGTACCGGAGGTAAAAGGGCCGGTAATCGGAGTACCCCCGGTATTCCGCTGGCCCGGAGCTGGTGCCCGAAGGCGGATCAGAGGCTCGATTTTCACTATTCTTTGTGAAAATGCTGGGAAAAGTGGGAACGGACGCTGCGGTGTCGGTTGTAACAACAAAAAGTGTTAAAAAAAATATAAAAGTATATTGCGACTAGCCATCCCCCAAAACGAGCGGAGGCTGTTGAGGTGGAAGAGCGCTGGGGATGGATGTTCAAGGCCTTTGGCCAACTTATAAACCGGACCTAACCCTGTGGTGACGGCTGCTACGGATAAACCAAGCTGGAGCCACCGATACGCCGCAGAGTTCGGCAATCGGTGGTGCCGAGACCTGGGGCGCTCGGCCGAGAGTCCTCTTTCCCCTCCGAGCAGCCATGAGCGGGGGCCCAATGTGGCTGGCACGAAGTTAAGGCGGGTCAACGAGGTCCCCGACGTGGGCAATGCAGCGAAAGCTCGCCTCTATACCGCGGTCGTGCGCTATGGTTCCGGCTGAAAACGTCCCACGGGCCAGCCACGGGTTATGAGGTCAAAACAAACCAAAAACTTTTCAGCTTCACTACGTAAGTTTTCGGGGATTCAGCACGGTAAGTTTTGAGCAGTACGCACAAAGTAGGGGGATGGCAAAGTCGCAAAAAATATACAATTTTGTTTTTTTTTTTCTTTTTTTTGTTACAACCGACACACCAGAAATGTCGCCCCACTTTTCCCAGCATTTTCGGCCAACAAAGAGCAGTGAAATGAAAGTCGCTGTGAAGCTGGCGCAAACCAGGATGGAAAAGCGGAAATTCCAGGCCGAAACGAGAAGTCCGCCGCTTGAACCTGCTGGAAACACCCCAAGATAAGTCGGGAGAGACCCTCGTCGGCACCATTGCCTCGGACAGAAATCCGGACCATGGGGTCTGCATCACAAAAAGTGGTGTAGACACTGGGGCCAAACTTGTTTGGCTTTAGGGGAGTGCTCCCTTCCTACTGTCGCCGCAACAAAGATACCCAACGAAAATAGAGTCCTACAATAATTTTTACATTATACCTTACTAAAACATATTTTTACATTATACCTTATCAATCAGAGAAGAGAATTAACTCCAATGTACTATGACTACTACTCAGTAGACTTTTGGTCTATTGTAATACTCTGTATTGTGCTGTTTGTTTAGTTGTGTTGAATTGTTGTATAATATTTTGTTATTGTTATATTTTGTGTGATATATGACTATGACTTCTATATAGTTAATTTTTGATATTTGAGGAATTTTTGAAGGTAAAATAATTTTTTGAAGGGTTTTTGCGGGCAGAGAAGATTGTTTTGACAGCCGGTTTCGATTGGAGCAACTGGGCATCTACTTGATGCCCAGTTGCTCCAACAAATTGATGATAATGGCAATGTTAACCCTGACGGATCAGAAGAAAGTGATCGGGAGAAAATATACAGGGGGTTTTTATTTCGGCACGAAAAATTTTATGACTATTTCTAATTAGGGAGTAATGTTTCTGCAAAAAATCATTTTTTTCGGCGCAAAACACAATGCTCGTCTCCAGAGCTCCAGAAAATCGCGAGCTAAAATCTTTGGACTTTGATGTGTGGCCTATGACCAAAATGTGTGCAAACTTTGAAGAAAATCTGAGCATCGCACTTTGAGTGCTTCCGGGTACAATATCAGTTCATTAAAGGTCATGAAAATGGAGAAATACGTAGAAACCCTCAGACCTAACGTCTCAAAAACCCCGCTCAAGGGTCTGACGTCCAAGTTCTCGCCTACAAACAGGATTTGCCTCGAGGCACTTGGCAAATACTCGACCAATTTCCCTGTGATACCCCCAATTTCCGCTTCTTTCGGAAACTCTTATTGGAAAGCTTGGTTAAACACCATCCGGAAGGGCCAAAAATCAGCGGGCAAACAAACACATCCTCCCACATCCTTGTACATGCCACGGTATTACTATATTTATCATGTGTGCCCCCGTGGGGGCAAAAAACTTTTAAAAAATGAGGTTTTTTGCGGAAATTGGGGAGATTTTCTTCATTTTCCTGAAAAGGAAATTGAAAATGGGAGGGATATTTAAAACAACGCAGTAAATAAGACTTCATGGTAATTGCAAAAGACGAAAAGAGCAAAAAATGAAGCAATATTTTACCAAAAACTGGAAAAAAGTGAAAAATGGAGTCTTGTGACGTTATACTTGAAAAAATTGCAGAAAATTGGCCGCGATGCCATTTAAAATTTAGGGGAAGAATTTAAATGGCCTTAGAAGCTCTAAGGAAGTGATTTTTAAATTTTTTGCTTTTCAAAATCGAGATTTTTAGATTTTTCAAAAGGTAATTTTCGTCGCATAAAATGTCACACAGGGCTGAAACTAATGGGTTTTTGGGTTTTTATAATTCCAAAACGTAGGAAAATAAGAGCACTCGTATTTTACCCAGCTGAAAAGCAAAGTTGCCAAAAACACGTTTCATCGTATAAAATGTCACCTACCCCGAAAATGGTCGGAATTTGGGATTCCAATGCCTGGAATTCTACACTTACTTCGGATCAACTGAAAACTAATTTTTTTGATATAAAACGCGTAAAATTTGCATAACCCTTTCAAAAAATTTCAAAATTTGCATATCCAAAATTTCTCAAAAAAGTCCTCTGACAAGTCCAACATGACCTTGAGAATTCCTAGAATCCCAATTTCAGTTTTTCCAGACGTTTTTTGACAAGCGGCCGAAAAGCGGCCCAATTTGGTCCTGGTCCCTTGTCACGCGTCAAATTTAAATGTAACGACTTGGAAGGGCCATCGGCGCAAATGAGCCTTGAGGTCCTATTTCAGCGGCGGGGCAGAGATTAGTCAACCTTCTCCGTTCCAAATTGCCGCGGGCGTTTTGCACGAAAAAACTTTGATAAATGAGATTTTTTGTGCTAAAATGGGCCGAATCTTTTGCTTTGAAAGGCTTTTTGAAAGGCTGGGAGGCATAAATTAAGATGCGGAGAGGAGTTCTTTTGTGAAATTACTGTAATTTATTGAAAGGAAATTTGAAATTTTTGGTCTTTTTTGCAAAAAAATCGCTAAAATTAACAAGTAAAGTAGCCCAAGTGCAACGCTCCGATCTTCTCTAAATTTTGCCTATAAATTCGGCATAGGCCGCGTATCAACCACCAAAAATTTTAGCCCACTCTTTACAGGCATAGCCGAAATATTCAACAATCTTTGCGGCCGAGAGAGTACGCGAAATGCGGAGAGCGGTCAGAGAGAAGAAACACTTTTTGGCCGTATCTTTGCCAGTTTCGCGCGTAAAAAATTGATATTTTGTGGGAACATTACCTTCTACTGTAGAAATAAGCACGAAACTTTTTATGGCAAAAATTCGTCAAAAAATTGCCATATTTTTTATAATTTTAGATCTAAAAATCTTGGTTGTTTCTGCAAATCGCTGGCTGGAAATCTCGGATATGCCTTGGAAAAAAATTTTCTAAACTTGTATCCAAGTTTCATCAAAATCTGAGCGTCGCACTTGGGGTAGTTTCATTATAAGTTTTAATCAAAATACTTCTTCAATTTTACTTTTTTGTCTTTATTTTATCGGCATGTGAAAGCTTGTGAGACTAGCTGTAAGGCAACAGCAATTATCGGAAGGCAAAATTACGGTAACCCATCCGTTTTGGCCACAATATCAAAAATCCCCGAAGTAGATGTCATGGATAATATCAGAAGTCGTCGGAGGTTTATCGTACAGCCCAAATTTCAATGTGAATACATTCACTACTCCCCACTACTACTTACACTCCCAACTTCCCAAATATAGATGCATTAATTACCAAGTTATTGGCAAAAAAATGTTAATTCCCCTCGAAAATTATTCCGAATACAAAATCCGTACAAAAAAGTGCAGGACAATGGGGACGGCGGAGAGAAAGACTTGATAATTCCGTAACAAGTTTACCCAAAGTGCAAAACTCAATTTAAAACCCATCGAAACGAAATGTTTGGCCAATAAATGGGCCGTTTGGACCCGAAAAGAAGTTCAAAAGCGCGTTATAGCCTCTCCATGTGTTCTACGCAATATTCCAGACGTCTTGAAGGGCCCTTCTGTCTGTCTGTCGGGAAAATAATGAGCACAATGTTGCGGCGATAATCGGGTCGCGAGTGAAAAGAAATTTGATTTAGGGGCGGCGATGCGATTTTCGATGCGACAGAGTGGTCGTTATTTTCCCGACAGACTGATATTACTGAATCAGAGCCGAAAAACGAGATCAGGACAAAAAAGAAATTGAGATTTTTTGGAAAAAATTATA